CACTTTTTCACCTATTTTTACCGGAATTGTAACGGTGGTCTATTTTTGGCTGAAAGCTTGTGTATAACTTGCTAAAGCTTGAATATAATACAATACAAACGGGCAAATGGACAATGATCATTCATTGTACATGTGATTAAATTCGCTTGATTTCTCCCGATGACCGGTGTTTTTGTGACCTTCTTCCTATGACTGTGTGGTGAGACTGTGGCTCTCTGCATAAGACTTGGATCAAAACGCAGTTGGAATGCTGTGTGCAGCCTTGGGTGCCCTACTTAAAGAAGAATGAATATCCATTGCATTGAGAAGGTGCAAAGATCGAACGCATGAATGGTCATTGGAATGAGGGGGAAACCAAATTGATTGAAGACACCTAGGAGGCAATCATATCGAGACCCTCAAAATAATGAACGGTTTGACAGGGCTAGAGGAAGAAAATTCTTTCACCCGAGTTTCACTCGATTAACGAAGCCCACGAATTGACTAAACCTTGGGTTCAGCATCTTCACGAACCGGGTGATAAATCATTGAAATCAACTAGATCAAACTTAAGTCCGGGAATTTTCTAAGATACCTTCAGCTAGTAGTAAGCAATGTGCTCTTCCTATTTCCGAATAATCTCACTTCACATGTACGGATTCGAAAATGCGCCGATTTTGGAGATATAAATGGGCCGTGGTTAAACAGTCGGTACGAGGTCGAAACTCTAAACGTACCCTGATTCTGACTGGAACGAGAATCTTGGCCGTTTGTTGGCGAAATTCTCTACCGTCTTGTACAACCTGACATGACCTGCGCGGATTACGAGTGTGACTCTTAATCTGCGAATATTGCGACCATTACACATGCTCCAGTGGACAAACTCGATTTGGCTAATAAAATATTACAATCAAAATGGATATTCGAAAGTGTTCACAGAACAAAATCTGATGAAGGAAGCATAGCCCATCAAGGCGGGACAGAGAGGAAAGTAAAGGTGTGGTTGTCCAATCGGTGAACAGATTCACATTTGGCTATAGAATGCAACTTGTGTATTGTGGGACAGCATAAGAAACGGAATGCCGCCTGTAGGTCTGAATAAAACGAACTAGCGCGTCTTTACAAATGACGCGATCATCGCACAAATCAAATTACATTGAGCTCCAAGCCCCACAGATTTGGCATCCATCAACGTGTAAACCACGAGATTATGCTTATCTGGTTAACACACATGGTTGTTGTGTGATATTTTCCCAGAGATGTCATATTTTCCGACAATGTCTATTGATGATGATCTGCGTAAATTCCGGACCTGTGTTTTAACTATTTATTTATTCATATGTGTACTTTTCGATAAATACTGAGTTACACGAATCCCTTGAATAACGAACAATCAGGCATGATCGTAACGAAGCAGATTTGCAATGAATTGCCTTTGGTGAACCTGTGAGTGTATCGTTCAATGATTGAACGCATTATTCCCCAACGGAATTATGGGAACCAGAAACGGCAAACACCTTTGGCAAGGCATAAGACTTCTTCGTGGAAGGAAGAAAGTATGGGCGAAGCTGAATGTTGATGTTGATGAATGCCGCATTCCTGCTCCAGTCATCGGACATTCATCCTGTCTAATCGTCACAGAATGTTGGTAATGTGGAACCATTCTCATATTATGATGTGCTAAAACGTTTAAATGGTTACAATTCATCTTCTACTGCAGGTCCGGATGGTTTATATAAAGCTCTCTTCAAATTTGGTGCTGCTTCCATAACTGGGACATTGTAGATGAATCTCCTGATACTTCTACTATCCCCGACTGTTGGTGGCCGGTCGTATTCATACCAATTCTCAAAAAAACCAAATCTTCTATCCTCTCCAAACTTTTTCGTACCATAGCGTTAACATCTTCAGCTCTTAAATTGACTGAAACGACCATCCCCAAACGCCTTCAGAATTCTATGAACAGTCCCAGTGATCCGTTACAGTCTGCTTACAAGCCTAATAGATTCAGTCTCCACCCTTATTAATTTTATCACTAAGTATTTGAACAACTTTGTTAAGTCGGTTCTGGACTTTTCTAGACTACTCTTCAGCATTTGATTCCATTCCACGATCTGAGTTGTTACAAAGACTGGAATCGTTTGAATGCCCCAAGCTATTGTTAGTTTGACTATCCAACTATTTCACTGGTAGAGTACAAACCCCTAGATTGCGAAAGTCTTCATCTAAACCCTTAGTCAAAAACTCCGGAGTTCTTCAAGGAGCTATGCTATCCCCATACTTATTATCCACTTATATTTGTGATATTCCTTGTTTCCCCTGCAAGTATTTTGAAATGTGCAGATGACGTCATGCTGTGCCAACCCATTTCTTCTTACTCCAATCTAAGCTCCTGCACGGGCAGCCTTGATCAACTTCAGCCATTCTCCTTCTTCTCGAGGCTAACCCTGAACCCCAATAAATGTGTTAAACATTTACATAGTTTTACTAGCTCTCCGTATCCGACAGATCCCACAGTGATTAATAACAATCATCTATCCAGGGTGAACCCTGTCAAATATCTTAGTATAACCCTAGATAAAAATCTTCATCCATAACTGCATTGTTAAACTTCGGTGCCTATCGTTTCAAATTCGAATGCTCCGGCAGGTTCGCGCATCCAAGTCAGTTATTTCTACCTTTTTGGTAATCAGTGAGTTTTCCCCATCTTACTCCACTGTTCCTCAGTTATTTTTTTCTGGCTTACTCAAACAGGGTTTCAAAGTCTTAATCCACCGTCTTACTATCATTAGCCCTGTCTCTTGTATTCCTATGAATGAGTTAACTCTAAAACTTTTAGAGTATCATATAACTTCTTGTGTGAAATTTATGGAGAGGATTCTCACACATCCTGACCACCCATTGCACGCAGAACAGACACGTTGTCGTTCTCATCATTCGACGCGCTCCCAATTCCGTCAAATCTCATCTCGAATTAACGCTTACCGCAGTTCACCTATACCGTATTTTGCTCGTTTACTCATAAATAAAGAGCGGTCAATAAGTAAACTTTGTCTTAACCTTGGATTATGAAATGTCCTCAAGTCTGTTAACATTTTCTCCCCGGTGATTATGCAGTTTGTGACGGTACGCCGTGTGTGATCTCCTAGCTAAAATATGAGCTCCAGTTCTCGTAAAAGTTATACACAGTAGAATACAATTGACACTACTTAATTGCTGCTCCACATGTCTATTAGGCCTGCAAAGCGAAAAAGAGGAATGTGGAATTTCGTGACAGAATTCAGTTTGGAACACCGTGTCTACAATAACGAATAATTTGACTTTGCACCAAGTGAAAATTACTCAAGACAAATGCGACACATTTGTATCATTGGAATGCTCCATTGAGACTAAGTTGATAGCAGAGCATGAGCGCACATCATGAACCCTAATGCAGTGTTCCGTTTTATGCTGTCATATTTATGTAACTAATCTCTCTCTCTCATGAAGGATTACTGTTGACATGGCCAACCGCGTACACACTATTTTTAGGTATCTGTTGGGGCCCAATACCGGTCCTTGCAGGTAAGTTGCTATCTTTTCTGGATAGGATGAGCACCAGCGTAGCTATGTTCGATATGCGTTTCGCACCATCAAAGTGTAAAATGTTACCACAGGATTGGGTTAGTCCATCACCCAGACTCACTCTAACCGAAGAAGTAATAGAGTAAGTGGATAAGTTTTGTGATTTGGGCAGTTACATGTCACCCGGTGGACGCATCACGGATGAAGTGTCAGCTCGCATATAGAAGACTCGGTTGGCAGTTGTTAACTTGAGATATCTGTGGCGCCGTCGCGATTTCCGGCAGTCTGTGAAAGGTAGTGTATGCTGCAGCAGTTCGGCCAGTTCGGCTGTACGGCTCAGAAACTCGACCATTAGGGAAACAGGATAAAGATAGACTGTCGGTGTTCGAACACTGCTGTCCATGCAGCATTGCACGAATCTGGTGAGGCAGCAGGACGAGCAATGCTGAGGTTGGGCACATAATTTTAGGTAAATGTGTTCGCCCAATGGAGAGAACGGTCGACCTCCATAGATTACGTTGGTTGGGACGTGCGTTACGCATGTCACCAGATAGGTTGCCACGGCGAGTGATGTTCGCTGAGGCAGGTAGTGAGTGGAAAAAAGTAAAGGGTGGTCCAGCTAAGACCTGGCAAGCGGGAATGAAATCCCTGACTGTTAGGCTCCCTGGATGGGGACCTCGGGATAATCGTAACCGATAATTAGAAACAATGAGTGACATGGCTGAGTGTCCTAAACAGTGGCGATCTTGCATCTTCTCAATTTCTTTGCAACCTTAGCCGTTGAAATTCTCCATTTTCTGTTCGACTCTACTTTCAACCTTCCTGTCTTTCTCCTAGTGTTCATCGAAATGGGCAGCCAGAAGACAGCAACCAAAACCAGCGCACGAAAGTGTGCATGGTTGCATGGCTGTACATAAACTGAAACTGATATTCACCGAATTGAATACCGGTCCTTCGCTTGCCTGGTCAAACTATAGTCTCATTTTCGAATTTTCGCGATGTCTCTGAACAGCAGCAGCAGCAGCAGCAGCAGCAGCAGCAGCAGCAGCAGCAGCAGCAGCAGCANACTATAGTCTCATTTTCGAATTTTCGCGATGTCTCTGAACAGCAGCAGCAGCAGCAGCAGCAGCAGCAGCGGATCATTTGAAGTACATACACTGTATACATTGTATGGATTTTTATAAAGTACAAACATTGAACTCACATAAAAATTAAATTGAATCACAGAAAATAATTCCGGGTAATTAGTGATAATACTCATATTCATGGTTGAAGACAAAGAATAAGCTGAGGTTGCAGGATGTACACATTTTACTGAGAAGTTACACATACCACGAACGGGTGGAAAGTAATTGGATCGTGCCTTAGAACGGTTCCCGTTTCAAATCTCACACTGTTTTAGTTATCGTTGTCACTGCTGTTTAGAAAATAGATGAGCTCGGAAATTCCCAGTCACGTTAGGCAGTGTGAATGTATGAAATCAAATTGGGGTTGACACCGAGTACCTGTACACCACAAAGTGGACGATCAACTGCACACGGACAAAATCGAGCCGGGACCACGACACCTTCTGTGCTGGCTCGTGGACGCCACATATTCAATCGAACCGCACCGGCTGGTTGATGCCTCTGACGTTTTCGTACCATTTGACGTGCTCGAACCGGACAGAAACGGGAAAATGCAGTGTATTTACAAACCCAGAACAGACGACACAATTCTCGTCGAAAATATTTTCCCACAAGACTGTACAGAAAAAAATTAATGCAGTAATTCAGGGAGAAAATAGTCCGTGTGATAGGCAATGCAACACGAAGCCAGTCCATGTGTTCTTCATGCTCCGCGGCAAAACTGTGTACTGTGGGGTCTGATTCATTTAGGCTTGGATTACCGGATGCGGTCTGATTTACTGGGAACAGTCTGAACAACAATTCCATTGTTGCTTGCTCCTCCATTGCACCAATAACAATACCACCGTTTCCAACACCACCACCACCACCTGAGGTTACCGGAGGATGTGAGTCGATCGTGGATGGGACCGGTTCCAGGGGGCTTAGATATTTGGTCCAGTCCAAATCGATGGTGTACAATCTTAAACGAACTTGATACCAGCGGCACGTCCACGCGATCAAATATGGAATGTTGAGAATGAGAAAGCACGCGGAAATCGTCAACAGAGTGACGGCAAACTGACGACCCAATCGATCCCCGCGACGTGATGCGTGCACTCCGCGGCACGAGGATTGATGCTGATGATGGAAATGTTTTTTTTGCGGATGATTATGTTGAGGTAGATGATGCTGATGATGATTAGCGTTATTGTTCACATGTATCGATTTCAGATGTTGAATGGGGGTGGACGAATGTTGTCTTTGAGATTGTTGAAACTGATGAGTATGATGTCGATGATACTGAGCGTAAGATTTCCTAAACTGGTTTTGTTTGTGCATGTGATGCGAGTACGATGGCCTGGTATTGTTTAAGCATGAAAATCTGTGAAAGAATTTGGTCAACCGGCCTGAAGCAGTACACTCTCGGCACTGACTATTCATTGATGGATCAAAACTACGTAAGTGCTGATTCGAATGTTGCTTGTTGTGGTTCGAGTGTTGTTGCTGTTGTTGGGGCTGTGCGTGCTGTTGGTGTGTGAGTTTATTGAACACGGATGTAGAACAGCTGGTAGCGGAACATGGAGAATGTGTGCATCGGGGTTTCGAGGTACTGGGGTCACCAGAAGTCCAGCTATACTGTTCGGCCGGGGGATAATGCCCGATCGTATAACGACCGGATTCTGATCCACTCGTTCCAGCTTGTCCAGAATGCGAACTGATCGAATCACTTCGCATGTCGGATTGTCGAGCACCGGAAATACATCCAAATATGCGCGAGGATCGCGTCCAGCAGATCCTAGTCTGTGATTTCGGTTGCTGTGAGCTATCTGGTTTCAAATCGGATCCAGGGTATTCGTTCAGTAAATTACTGGAATGTTGGCATAACTGTGTAATAATGCGCAGATTCAAACTCAAAATGACTAGGAAAGGAAGCAGTGTGACGAGAATGGCATAACAAGTGTCCAAGATGAAGACGGTTTTCGCGTGTCCGGGGCTAATTCCCTTTGGGGTTCGAGTGATATCAATATCGATTGGGAAAGCATCTTGGCCAGTGCTGTAATTCTGACCTATACGGAGTGATATGTCATCCCGTTTGCCTGGATGGAATGATCGGTCCTCGGGGGCAGTGTCTATCTCCGCGGTGATCAAGTCTGTGTCTGCACTCAGACCCAAAATTGGTTTATAAGCACACACAATCAATGCGATGAGAAATATGATCAGTATGGCACGACGAACTTTGCCTTGTGTTCGAAACAGATTCAGCTTGAACGGATAGCACACACCTGTTGACAGAAAAACATGGGAGAAACCAAACAATATAGCAGTGATGCTACCCTATTCATCTATCTATTAATCTATTTATCTATCTATCTATCTATCTATCTATCTATCCATCTATCTATCTATCTATCTATCTATCTATCTATCAGTTTCCACTGTTTTTGTTAGCAATTCAGAAAACCTCTATCACTGCTTGTAAATTTTCTGTGCCGGGAGTTATGAAAATTCAAATATTCCAAAATCTTAGACAACTGGAAGCAGTAGGAATTTCGAATAAACATTTTGTTATTTCAAAAGAAGCTAATTTATTTGACAAAGCACATTGAATTTGAAACTCGTGCCACCAGCGGCACTTGCACACAACATGCATATATTTATATATACAGATGATGGTTGAACTCATGTAACAAGATTGTCATTTCGCAAACGCGTTTCAGATTCCAATATCACATTTATAAATTTATTGCTACGAGTGAAATGTTTTTATTCAGAACTGTATCTCCCACAGCAATGATCTCAGTTCTCTTTTACCACCGTTGGAATTTGAGCAACCTTGAATGTCCTAATAAAACTTGTGTTGGTTCGAAAGTTACAGATCAGATTTGGAAAATGTTTTATGCAATGCAGCATAGAAATTCATTCTTTCTAACCAATGATTCCCGTTTTATGAGTGTTTATTAAGATGGACACGTATTTTTAATTGATTACCTCTTTTTCTTCATTGCACAATAAACAAGCCGATCCATGAAAATGTTCTATCCTGAATGAACTGATTAGTTATATATATATATATATATATGTATATATATAGACTACTCACTCATTATACCTAAAAGAAATAAGAATATATTCCAAGAAACATAAAAGCTGACCTTAGAAAGTTGACTTTGAGGTGTGCGTATTGCGGTGTCACCATTCTCCAACCGGATGAACCAGTCAAGAGAGTTCGGCATACGGTTAAAGCCGAGAGGCAACTTATTCGAGATACACATAAATCCGGTTACTCGGATCTTGATTTATACAAATGCTTCGATGTGAACATAAGCCAAATTTATTGCATAATAAACGAAAGTTCTCCATCCAGACATAAACCATTTATATATAGAAAGATATATATATATATATATATATATATCGACCAGCCTTCAAAACGTTAACGACAATCACGCAATGGACAAATTATCTTTTGAATCACATATCTAACCTGGGATCTTCTTCAAATTGGCTAGCGTTCATCCTACGATAGATTTCGTCCTTTTTTGGCACACGCATGGCGTCCTTGTGTGCAGTCATGCACTTTCCCCTCGGAACTGTTCACACTATCATCTACCACTCGAATTTACAAAACTTTAATTCGAGGTCCTTTCTTCCAAAGGAATAACGCTCTGAAGTTCAGCTGATAGCTATAAACGACGTACAGAATTGCCGTTCTGAACACATGTGATGGAATGGTTTATTCTTACCCAAAATAGAGACATTTATAACTGATGTTGAATGGCTACCCCGAACGATTTATCGATAGGGCAATACCAGAACACGAGGAACAGCCGTCAATGAAATGGGAGCAGTGAAGAAGTCCATCTATGTGCATCTGCTGTTCAAGGGAGATACGGAGGCGGATATCTTTCAAAGAAAGCTCACAAG